TCCTTCTGCTGGTGCAAACCTCAGAGATGATATTGTTTACCTCACCAGCAAACACATATTCATCTAGTGGCTGGCTCTGCAGTCTGACTCCAGTCTTACTGTGTATTGGTGTGTACTGGTCCATACTGCACGGCTCAGTTATTCACTTAAAACCCTGAATCAGCTGAATCATGGCACTGCTGGACTCTCTCCCACATTCCTCCTGTCTGACTCACAATAGAAGGGGCCAGCCTGCTTCCCTTGTGATAAGTTCCAAATGAAATTTGCTCATTAGACGTAATAGGGCTCAAAATACTGACAGCATTTTAGCAAAAACAATACACAGCTGCTTTGAGTATGACGTCCTCTAAAACACAAACGTCATAGATGCTTACAATTTGGTGAACCTGGATAGTTTCAACTTGCTTGCTGTTGCTGGATGGTCCAGTGGTTAGACAGAATGTGTTAGAACTGGACTATTCCAGACTGAATCCCTTTGGCAGCGGTCACTTAAGTAAACCCTTATTATGTGTCCCTCCCACTGAAGGGTTCTTCGGAAGGAGAGCTTCTAAAAACATTTTTTTTCAGTTTTTGATTATTTCCTGAATTTCAGAGGAGCTTCTGGTAAAGGGGAGATTTGTAATTGATGCTATTATGTTCTAGGGATGGCAGTGCCAAACTGTCTGTATGTTAGTCTGACATTTTGGTACGGACTGAAATATCTCATCAACTATTGCATGCATATTTCACAGACATTCATAGTTCCCAGACGATGAGGCTTACTGACTTTGGTGATACTGACTTTTCTTACTCCTCTAGTGGCAGCATATCTTGAAGTATTAGTAAGTAGTAGTATGAAATGTGGTAGCAATACACATGGTGCCTAAAGGATGAATCCTAATGACCTTAGAGATCCTTAGCGATAGGGGTGAATCTAGGGAACTATTCATGCAGGTAACAGAAATATATGCTGATTTAATTGCAAACTATCACATATATCAATATTTGCTCGGAAAAGCCCCCAAATGAACATATTTGAAGAAATATCTAAAGATGGTATTAGAAATCAATACTTTTTTCCTCCAAATATATTGACAATTTCCAAATATCTTTCTCATTGACCTTAAGCCTATCTTAGTCTAAAATGTGGTCATAACAGATCATTAAACGATGTGTTAATTTCTTTTATTCAACACATTATTTTTAAAATTAATCTAAATTAATTTGTTAAATTTGGCAGCATGGCAGCCAGGGTGGTCAAGCATTTCTTAGGGGGTGAGCGCTGCCACCCAATGTAACCCATCTTGATCTGCCTCTGGAAACATTTTAACATCTACTGGATGGATTGGCACAAAATCTTCAGACTTTCATTATCCTACTGACTTTGTTGGTCTCTTGACCTTTTCTCTAGTGCCACCATAGAGTTGAATTTGTGGTTTTGAATACAATCTCTCAACAACTGTTGGGTTGATTACCACAGAAATTGGTACACACAGTCATTGTTTCCTTCAGGATGAATTGTAATCCCTTAATTTTTCAAAAGTCAGAATTCCAATACTGTCCAATACTTTGGTTTAAGATAGTGTAACTAATGACATTCCCATCAGCTTCAGCACTCAGCAGGCATACTTTGTGTTTAGATGGTGAACATAGTCTATTTGAGTATGTTAGCATGCTACCGTTAGCATTTAGTTCAAAGCATTGGTGTGCCTACAGTAAATACAGCCGCACAGAGCTGCTATCATGGCTGTAGTCTTGTCACACACCCTGGAATGAGACAGAGTCAGCAGGAGGCTGCGAAGACACAATCAAGAGAATATGTCAAAAGACAGAATTGGAGCATCAAAACTATTCTTAGAAATATTCTGTTGCATCCCTGAACTATCAGGTACTTAGTAGGGCAGACTGCCTCTCACTGTTATACTTCTGGCCACACACACACACACACACACACTGCAAGGTTCACTGTGTGTGGTGCCGCTTAGTGATGAGGTGGCTGCCAGCCTGGAACACTAAACCTTTTAGGAAGAATGAAGTCTTCCTGTGCCCCAGTGGATTCATTCTCCAGAGGCATTTGTCTGCAGACAACATCGGAGCATGCTGTCTGTGGACAAATTCTGCTGGTTAAAAAAGTTCTGCTAGGTGTTGTCATCACTTTTGTCAAAATAAGCCCTAAGGTACTGCAGTACTGACTGTCTGATCTACCCAGCTGCTATGCAGAATTGGGACCCAAATTGGGAGAAAAGATCAGTATGCAAGAAAGGTAACTGTCAAACAGAATAGACCAACAATGAAGGACTGTAGTCTATGCAGAGACAACAGGGGAGGGGGAGCACAGCTACGGCAGCACACAGTGCTGTTGAACATGTTTCCAAAATTAAATGTAATTTCCAGCACCTGTACCACCTCAAACTGTTACTGTTATATAGCATTTCTTGTGAAACACCTTTTTTTTTAAATGCACAAAAGAGTTTTCTATATATCATACAAGTTTGTCCCATGAGCAATGAGCCTGCCAGCTGCATAGGCAGTTTTGTAGGCAGGAATTTCATAAATACCTCATGATCAGGGCTGATATGTTTATACAGCAGGGAGTTAATTCCAGCCTGGATCTGTGAGTATAACTTCCAATGTTGTGTTCACTGTGACAGCACACAGGCTTTGTATGGGGACAAGGACAGATTGACACTGGCTGGCTCAGAAATGTTTGTGCTAATGTGCAACATTTACTTGAGTGAGTTTCCTATTCACTGTGAACAAAAGCAACAGAAGAAGCTTCCTGGTGTTACAAATAAATAAGTAAATAATCTGTTCTTGACTTAAATGGAGATGTTTATCTCTACAATTTCTAGAAGTAAACCATCCACAATAACCACTAACCAACCAGTTAAAAAACATTTTAAAGATCTAGAAATGTTTGAACACCATTCAGTCAACAACCAACTAACTTATAAATGTTTTCTTATCAAAGTCTGCATAATTTACTAGCAGATTTTATATTGGCTGCTGTTTTTACCTAAAGCTTTACCATGTGTTATAATAAAAAGCTTTATGTTGATGTTGACCATAGATGTGATAGAATGCTGTTTGTCATATGATTCCCAAACACGCTTTTACATGTGTGCTTTTAGCAAATGCACAAAAGTATGTATGTTTGCTTTCAATGTAACTAATTTTACCACTCTCACACTCACACACGCACACACACACACACACACACACACAAAACCCTATAGACAACTTTGGCTGTGTGCAATTAATCAGTTGAGATAAGCCAGATACGGTTACCTATAAGAGACCAAACACTGTGTGTGTGTGTGTGATTGTCTGGAATTCCCTGAAAGATGGATGAAGCTTAACAGAGAAACTCAGGTAGAGAGGGAAGAAAGAGGAGAAGGATCTCATGAGGAGAAAATTAAGAAAGAAAATAAGAGAAAGTATGAGAGGAAGGAATGAAGAGTTGACAAGAGACATAAAAAGATTGTGAAAATATTACTGTTTGGGGGCATAAATAAATGGGATATAAATTCAAAAAACGGCAAAGGAAAATATGAATAAAGTTGTGCACTGTCTCTTTAAACTGTGCAGCAAGAGGCATCCTATGTATTGAGGCAGAGTGGAGTCAAGTTTACCAGGATACAAAGAATCATTTCCTGTTGTTTCCAATATTAAACATTTACTGTTTGTCAGAAAATGTCAGATTGCCTGTTTTGTCTGCCAAAAAAAACACTGACACGATAGGGGCCATTTCCTGACTGCCTCTTCACTGTCTCTGTAATAAAAAAAAGAGAACATTGTATGGCAGGGAAGCGAAAAGCTGCTTAATGCATTTTTGAAACAGAACAAGGACTGTGGGTTTTATCCCCCGCAGTTTACTGTGGAATTGTGTTTATCTGATTGGAGCCACCAAATTACCAATAACTCATTCAGTATACATACAGGTAGGGCTGTACCCAACTCAGAATTTTCTCAGTTGAATCAGATTTGACTATTTGTTCCTTTTTTTGTCAGTTCAGCCTGCTGTGCCTCATGCTTTAGCCTTCCTCTTGTTTTACGCCTTTCTTTGTCATCTGTGACATGAAAAGATTCCCACACAGTCGGAGAAAGTAGAAGTGTGTGTCCTGCTCATAGTTCTGTTATAAAATCCCAGTGTACCAGTGACGGAGATAAAAAACAAAAGTGCAGAGATTCTCGACTGATTCCAATCATTGAGTTTTTTGGGGTCAGACCTACATATAGGTATGTGAATATTTAGACACACTTACATATGAACCCAGCCCAGTGATTTCCAACCTTTTTCTTTAAGGGACCCCTTTTCTATTATTTAGTAAGCTGACGACCCCTGACTAAGTGATTCAATTATATTATATTCAAAACTCAGTAACTGCAAGGAGTTTGTGTAAAAGGAGTAATTTTGAGTAATTTTGAGTAATTTTGAGCAGATTATTAACTGTTTAGGGAACTTTTTATACAATTCTCTGTCTGTATTATGTTTTTTTTTTTTAATCATTTTTCAACAATCATTCAGACTTAATAGGCTTCTTTTTTGTTTTCTTGTCAATAGTCAACAATTTACTTTTCTTCAAAGAAGTTAACACAATGCTGTGATGTAGTTTTCTTCCACCCCTCAAAATCAAGAAGGCCTTGTGACCCCCCGTGAAGCTTTGGCGACCCCTAGTGGGGGTTCAGACCCCTAGGTTGGGAATCACTGACCTAGCCTATCATTTAATTGGAGCCGTTCCATGGCCCTCTAGCAGGTTGGTCCAGCCATGGGCCACTTTAATGAGATTTCAGTAATAGTAGATACAATTTGCACAAACTTTTTTGACCACACAACCAAATAACTTCCACAGTGTCCATGTTTTCTGCTTACTGTCTATCCTTTGGATTTGACTTTTGCAAAAACCTCACACTGAAAAATATAACTAAACTTTTAATACACATTTAACTTTATACATAACGTATCCCTTTAATGTGAAAATGTATGTCTTTTATTTTGAAAGCGCCGTCGCCAAGCTTCCTTACCGTTGAATCGAGAACTGTTGAGCTTGACGGCAGCGAGAGAAAGCTCCTCGCAAGCAGACACACAAAGGGAGTGGAAGGACCTGCAGCAATGGGAATCAAACTGTACTACACCACCGTTACTGCCTCTCGGACGGTGAGTCAAGTGACCGTAATTGAACGAACTTAGCGTGATGTTTGTGTCCGGGGCTCCGGTGGCTGCAGCTAACAATGCTGTGAGTCCAACAGACACACCCAGCACCCTATCAGTAATAGCTTCCTCCTGACTAACAGTGCACTGGGCCTATGCTGCTCAGCGCCCATTTATATCAGGATTGTAACGTCAGCATTACCAGGTCGTAGGCGTAAGGGAGAGGAAAGTTATCAGTCGTAAATGGAGCTAAACATAAAGGACTTGCAAAGACGAGCCGTGGTGCGTGGTTCCACCTCATTTCCTCTATCCTGGTAGTGGGAAGGTGTTTTTTTTTATGGAGCATGTTTGGCTAGCCATTTTTGCTGAAATGTTTCCTCAGAATATGAACCGTATTAGCTATCTCAAACTGTGACACTATATAACATTCATTCTGGTACATAAGGGTGGCCGGAATAGCCAAGTATAGCGACCATATGTGTCCGTTTCCTGTATCGAGAACTGTACGCCAAACTTCATGCAAAAATCTTGCAATTTAAGGCTGCTTTGCTTAATGGCAAATATACATTGTAATGTTAAGGCCTTGTTCTGCATACACCAGATGGACTGAACGACATGTGTTTTAAAATGTCATCTTTTATAAGTGGCACACCTGCTACTCAATCTTCTTGTACTAATTGTTGTAGGATAGTGACAAGGGAGCATGGGAACCAGGAATAGAACCTGAAAAGTTACTGAACTTTGAGGTGAAGAGCTGCCTGGTAGTTTATTTGGCGCCGAATTGACCACTAGACCCTTTAATCCGGGAAAAGTCAGATGTTTGTATCATTTGATGTACGTGTTAGTTGATAAGTTGGCTTCATTACAAATAGTATGACTTTGTAATAAAGTTTTGCTGCATATTGTTTGAATATAATAGGATGAATCCAGTGGAACAGGTTGACATCCAGACTGTCTGCAGACATCAATAATCAATAATCTGACCTGTAAAACACATCCTTTGTAGGACTTATCTTTTGCAGCTCTTTATGAAAACTGTGTATGGCAAAGCACTGGGCCAAACATCTGGTGCCTATTAGGTGTGAGGAATTTAACTTATGTAGTGAAAAAGTTTTGTGACGTGCATTCGCTTTTAACCCTCTCATGTGCAGTACTGCTGCCAGCTCACCTGCTAATTTCTGGTCTTCTGTAGAAGCCTTTAGAGGAAGATTTGAATTGGTTGGATGCCACTGACCCCCAGTCTTTCTGCTGGCTTCAACACCTGCTGCATATCCATCTTATTCTGTCCTCCAATCAGTTTATCCTTTCAAAGCAATAATTGGAATAATCCCACAATTGCTTTTAATGGATTAACATTAGTTAATAGTAGCCAGTAAAACAAATTAATTATGAACTATTCTAATGTATTAAGACTATATTCAGACCATAGCAAAAAACCCCTTTCTGTTACAAAATGAAAACATGCTAGAGCAATCCCATTAAATTATAATCCCCTTTGTGTTATGCACTTTTATAATGGTTTTATGTGTCAAAGTAAACGTTGACATTTGTTTGCTCTCCTTATACATCTTAAGAATTGTTCTGCCAGGTTACTACAGGGTGTCCACGGGGTCTTAAATCGTCTAAAATCTAAATAATAATCTGAATTTTAGGTCATAAAATGTCTTAAATATAATTTTGACAGGCCATAAAAATGTAATGGATTAATGAAATGACTTGCAATAAGGTTGGATTTTTCGGTCTTGCTTTATATTTTTTAGGGAAAAATTTGTATTGATCATGCTGTGTCAACTTCATAATGAAAACGACATGGAACCAATATCTATTTTCCTTCATATCCTTCGTTATTTATATATAGCCAGTATGGACGGTCTTAAACTGCATTCATAGTGGTCTTAAAAGGTCTAAAATTCAACCTGTTTAAACTTGTATTACACATCAAGGAGTTTAATGTGTGATACTAGAAGCATTAGGCTCAGACCTAAATATCTCACCTGAAAGTCATATTACAGATGTAATTGCTCCCTTTAACAACACTGGGTTCAGTTGTAGTTCCCTTGTCAACTGTTCTATGTGTGAATGTGTATTAATGATTAGCTTCTGTTTGATGGGCTTTGCCTGTGTGCAAATGGCTGTGTGAAAGGTGTGAAATGTGGCACTAGTGTAAAAAGCCGCTTTGAGGTTGCCTCGAATAAGACTAAAGGCGAGGTCCATTTACCATTCTGATTTTTTTCTTCACACGATTCAGAAAAGCTTTTAACTGCTGAGTCCGCTTTTCCCCCAACAGCTCTGTGTGGCCAGCTAAATGCCAGCTTGTGTGTTTCCAGTTAGTGCTGTGCTTAGGTGTGGTCACTTTTACAATCACCCCCTCCCAACTTCCTCAGCCGCCCAAAAAGATAGCAGAGCGTTCAACAGTTCTATTAATCATCATCCAGGAGCCAGATAAAGCCGCTGATTTTTAAAGGCACAGCCTCAAAA